AGTTGTATGATATGAAATTAATACACAGAAATCTGTTGCATTTCTATACACTAGCAATGAAAGATAAAAAAGAAAAATTTTAAAAAATCCTATTTACCATTGCATCAAAAATATAAAATATATAGCACTAAGCCTACTGAAGGAAGTAAAAGACCTGAACTCCAAAAATTATAAGACACTGATGAAAGAAATCAAAGATGGCACAGACAGATGAAAAAGTATACCATGTTCTTGGGTTGGAAGAATCACTATTGTCAAAATGATTATACTACCCAAGGCAATCTACAGATTCGGTGAAATCCTTGTCCTCTTACCAATGGCATTTTTCAAAGAACAAGGACAAAATGTCTTAAAATTTTTGTGGAGACAAAAAAGACCTTGAATAGTCAAAGCCATCTTGGGAAAGAAAAACAGAGCTGGAAGAATCAGGTTTCCTGACTTCAGACTATACTACAAATGATACAGTCATCAAAACAGTATGGTATTGGCACAAAACAGGAATACAGATCAATGAACCAGGACAGAAAATCCACAGATTAACCCATGAATTTATGGTCACATAATCTGTGACAAAGTAGGCAAGAATATACAGTGGAGGAAAAAACAGTCTTTTCAATAAGTGGTGCTAGGAAAGCTGGGTTTCTGCTGCCGATGTTAAGTCGCTTCAGTCGTGTCCGACTCTGTGTGACCCCATAGACGGCAGCCTACCAGGCTCGCCCGTCCCTGGGATTCTCCAGGCAAGAACACTGGAGTGGGTTGCCATTTCCTTCTCCAATGCAGGAAAGTGAAAAGTGAAAATGAAGTTGCTCAGTCATGTCCAACTCTTCGTGACCCCATGGACTGCAGCCTACCAGGCTCCTCCATCCATGGGATTTTCCAGGCAAGAGTACTGGAGTGGGTTGCCATTGCCTTCTCTGAGGAAAGCTGGGTAGCTATATCTAAAAGAATGAAGTTAGAACACACCCTAACACCATACACAAAGTCAAACTCGAATAAACATAAGGCTGGATACTATAAAACTATTAGAGGAATACACAGGGAGAACACTTCCTAATATAAATTGCATCAAGCTTTTTTTTTCATCATCCTCCTAGAACAATGAAAATAAAAAACAAAAATAAACAAATGAGAGTTAATTAAGTGAAAGCTTTTGCACAACAAACAAAACCATTAAAAAATGAAAAGAAAACTCTCCAGATTAGAGAAAATACTCCAAATGAAGCAAACCACAAGAGATTAATCTCCAAAATGCACAAATAGCTCATGCAGCTCAATATCAAAAAAGGCAAACAATGTAATCAAAAAATAAGTGGAAGATCTAAATAAACATTTCTTCAAAGAAGACATACAGATGCACATGAGAAGATTCTCAACATCACTAATTTTTAGGGAAATGCAAATCAAAATTACCATGTTGTATCACCTCACACTGGTCAGAATGGCCATCACCAAAAAGTCTATAAAAAATAAATGCTGGAAAGAAGGTGGAGAAAAGGTAACCCTCCTACACTGTTGGTTGGAATGCAAACTGGTACAGACACTATGAAGAACAGTATGGAGCTTTCCTTAATAAAACTGAAAACAGAGTTACAATATGATCTAGCCATCCCACTCCTGGGCATATATTTGGAGAAAACAATAATTTGAAAAATACATGCAATTGAATGTTCACTGAAGCACTACTCACAATAGCCAGGAATGGAAGCAACCGAAATATCAACATAGAAATGGATAATGAAGATTGGTACATATACACAATGGACTATTACTCAACCAGAAAAAAGAAAAATGCATGCTATTTTCAGCAACATGGTTGAACCTAGTGATTCTTTTTTTTTTTTTACTCCTCACTGTATTTCTTTAATTTTTTAAGTTATTTTATTTTATTTATTTTTTAATTTTTTTCCAATTATTTTTATTAGTTGGAACCTAGAGATTCTTATACTGAGTAAAGACAGTCAGACCGAGGAAGACAAATATCATATGATATTTCTTATATGTGTAATCTAAAAAGAGGCTACAAATGGACTTATCTACCTGATGGGTTACAGTCCATGGGGTCACAAACAGTTGGACATGACTGAGTGACTAACACTTTCACAAAACCAAAAGAGTTGCTAATGTGGAAAATAAACTTGTTACTGAGGGGTAAAGGGTGGAGGGATAAATTGGAATTGACCATACACACTACTATATATATATATCAATAACATAGATAACTAATAAGGACCTTCTGTGTAGCACAAGAACTCCAGTCAATAATCTATAATGACCAATATGGGAAAAGAATCTAGAAAGAGTGGATATATTAATTTGTATAACAGATTCACTTCTCTGTACATTTGAAACTAACACAACATTGTAAATCAATTATACCCCAAAATTAAAAAAGTAAAATAAATAAAATAAAAATAAGCCTTAGAATCAAAATAATAAGTGTAGACAGAACATGCCACTTCCCTAGAATTAACATACACAAAGTTTAGATAATATAAGTCCTTCTAATAGGAATAGAAAAGCCATCAGTTAAATAAGACACTATACTAAGGAAATGTCAGCCTGGGCAACGCTTATTCATTTCAGGAACACCTACACAAGTAGTTTTATTTATTTAGTTTTATTTTTTGTTTTTTCTATTGCTTTTCTCAACCTCCTCCTTTATACCACAAGTGTTTGAGAATTCATTTTCTTCTATGTTGAATCCAAAGATTCTTTCTCTAAATACTGATGTTGAATAATCAATTCATATTATATCCAGTTGCAAAGATTCATTAGTAGACACACAACCCATCTGAAGATAGTTTGAACAAATCTAAATGCCTTATAATTCTGTAGAATTACTTATCTATAATGGTAAGTTTAATTTTTTAAAAATATTTTGACAAAAAATGTTAAAGTGTTTAAATTTGGGGAATGCATGTATAATCAGAGCTTCTCAAATGCTCCATGATGTTTATAAACTTGTCCATGTGATGATTACATGTAAATATGTACAAATATTACAGCCAATATCCAATGGTTGATTAATGACTAATGCTAAATAGACTGGATAATATTCAATTATCCACACAAAAATCCACACAATCTGAAACTCATACAATAAGTGTTTACCATTGATGCAAAAATCAGTTCAATTGGACCAATCATGAAAAGTATAATCATAAAAATACACCAGAGAGGTTTTTTTCTGTTGATTCAGTTTTGGTTAATGTAGGAGAATTACCCTGCTATTTTTAGAATCTAAATTTGACTATTACATATGATGTTTTCTGTATAAAATAGTGTATTTGTAATGTATATCTGCATGCCTCTTACTACACACACACACACACACACATACATAAAAGTAGGGTGTTATAATAAAAAATATGTTCAAAAGGAAAAATACTTTCTTTTTCTAGTTCCTTGAGGTATAAGTTTGAATTGTTTATTTGAGGTATTTCTTTTTTATTAATATAGTTATTTATTGCTATAAAATTCTCTCTTAGAAGTGCTTTAAATGAATCCTATAAATTTTGGTAGAGTGTTTCCATTTGCATTTGTCTCAAGATGCTGTTAATTTTTTTTAACTATTTTCTGTTCAGGAGAGGGTTATTAAATTTCCACACACTCATGAACTTTTCAATTTTTCTCCTGTTATTGATACCTAGTTTAATTCCATTGTGATTGGAAAAGATACTCAATATGATTCCAATTTTGTTTGGTGACCTAATATGTGATCTATCCTGTAGAATATCCCTTATGCACTTGAGAAGATTGCATATTCTGCTTCTGTTGTGTAGAATGTTCTGTGTATATTTCCTCTGTTTATTTGGTTTGCATTGTTGTTCAAGTGTTTTGTTTTTTTTTTTTTACATATTACTCATCTGTCTGGATGATCTGCTATTGATAAATGTGGTGTATTAAAGTCCCCAGTTATTATTGCATTGCTATTTTTCCATTCATCTCTGTTAATATTTGTTTTATATATTTATGTTTTATGACATTGTGCATATATATGTACAAGTGTTGTATCCTTTTGACATATTGACCTCTTTACAATTGTATGTGACCTTCTTTGTCTCTTGTGACAACTTTTGATGCAATGATTATTTTGTCTGATTTAAGTATAGTTACCCCTGATCATGGCAGCTTCTCTGGTTGCTCAGATGGTAAAGAATCTGCCTGAAAGGCAGGAGACCTGGGTTTGATCCCTGGATCGGGAAGATTCCCTGGAGAAGGAAATGGCTACCCATTCCAGTATTCTTGCCTAGAGAATTTCATGGACAGAGGAACCTGGCAGGCTACAGTTCATGGAATCGCTAAGAGTCAGACACAACTGAAGTGACTGAGCACATTAGCACCCCTGATCTATTTTAATTATTATTGCAAAGATTATCTTTTGCCATCCCTTTATTTTCAGCCTATATGCATCCTTAATGCTAATGTGAGTCTCTTGTAGGCAGAATTTTAGTTGGATTATGCATTGTATCCATCCAGTCACTTTGTCATTTCACTGGAAATTTAATCCATTTACATTTAAGGTAATTACTGAGAAGTAAAGATTTACCATTACCATTTTGGTAATTGTTTTCTGTGTGTTTTATAATTCCTTTTTTGCCTTCCTCTCTTGGTGTCTTCATTTCTAATTTAACGACTTTTTAGCAGTGTGTGTTAGTCGCTCAGTTGAGTCAGACTCTTTGCAACCCCAGGGACTGCAGCCTGTCAGGTTCCTCTGTCCATGGAATTTTCCAGGCAATAATACTGGGAGTGGGTTGCCATATTTAGCAGTAGGCTTTGATTTATTTCTCTTTTAGCTTTTCTATCACAAGTGTTTCTCTTTGCAATTACCATGAAGCTTACATAAAACTTCTTATAGATGCGCCCCGGCTTTGGCAGCAACTGCCTCTCTATGCAAGTGTGAGCCTTGCTAGCCCTTCGCCAGGAGACTGTTGCAGTCGGCCAGCCCCTGCTCCTTGGTAACTGTGTATGACCGAAAAGCCATGATCAAGAACGCTGATATGTCGGAGGAGATGCAACAGGACTCGGTAGAGTGTGCTACTCAGGCATTGGAGAAATATAATATAGAGAAGGACATTGCGGCCCGTATCAAGGAGTTTGACAAGAAGTACAACCCCACCTGGCACTGCACCGTGGGGAGGAACTTTGGTAGTTATGTGACACATGAATCCAAACACTTCATCTACTTCTACCTGGACCAAGTGGCCATTCTCCTGTTTAAATCTGGTTAAAAGCATGGACTGTGCTACACACCCAGTGATCCATCCAAAAAAAAGGACTGCAGCCTAAATTCCAAATACCAGAGACTGAAGTCTTCAGCCTTTTTTTTTAATTTATTTTATTTTATTTTATTTTCAGCCTTGCCTAAGGGAACACCTCCATCTTTGAACCTTTATTGTGTTTTGTATAGGGCATTCTCTGTACTAGTTTGCTGTGGTTATAAAGTAGTTAGCAAAACATCTTACATTAGTATCTATTTTCTATTCCATACCTCTCTGCCCCATGTTTTTTCTCTTCAAATTCCATTCCTTTAAAAAAATAAATCTGTTGGAGAAATGTGAAAAAAATTTCTTATAGTTATAACTCTTATTTATAAAACGAGGAGGCTCAAATTTAGTTGAGTTCACTAAAATTCTTTTTGCTTTAATATTTCTGTTTTTTTCTAATGCATATGTGATTATTAATAGCTAATTTTTGGTTCATTAGGTGAGTAGTTTAATAAAAGACTCCAGTTAAAAAACTGATGCAGGAAGTTTTGGGATGGTGAGGGAAAATTACCTATGTTTCAGAGGTACCTCAATACAACACACCCAAATGGAATTCACTATTTTCTCCCTGTCCATGATTACCTCTCTCCAGTTTATTCCTCCACATAATTTTTAGAGTTTCTTTGTAAAATATAAGATTAATCATATCACTCCCCTTGAATGTTTAAATATAAATGTCTCACCATATCTGTCAGGATAAATTCTAAACAAATTAGCAGAGAATAGAAAGTCTTACATTTTCTAGTTCCAGCTGTAACATGACTCCTATCATTTTCTTATGGCTTCTGTCAAAATATCTTTAAATTAACCTTATAAACACACTCCCCTCTCTCTCTCTCTTGCTCACTCTCATTCACCCTCTCTGTCTTTTCCATGCTTTTGTGTAACTTGTAGCAGATTCATAATGAAGTAAGCCTCAATGAGGCAGAATCCTGTAAGGGAGACTACTTCTCTGATTTTGCCTAATCTAACCAATCAAGTCTAAATAGTCAAGTAAGTTCTGTCCAGTGTAGATGTATTGATTTGAAAGTATATAAAAGGTATTTCAATGTAGAACTTAAATATTTTTTAATACTTTGGGATAACAAAAATACTTACTGAAAATATTAATTCACTATCTATATTGAATGGTAAATATCAACATCCATAAAGGATTTACCAGCCTTCATTTTCCTTCACTAAGGAAGAGCTAATAATCTATAATGGTTTAAAGTATTTATTAGACTATTTTAGTCTAGTCTGGTTTTCTCTTTTGGGTGTGCAACATTCATCTCATCCCATGTAGTTTGTTCTCTGGAATACCTCCTTCTTGTAGCAATTTAAATTTCTTGTTATTTGCTTAAAGTCTTTGAATACTAAATATGTATCCATCAATTTCACCTAAAGTCTTTGACTCCTTCCAATATGACCTGCAAATTTGCAGTTTATTTCAGCAGCTCTCTTGCTCTTTGACCTAAAGGTTTTGCATTGCCTTCTCATGAGCAACTGGAGTCAGTCTGACATCTCACATATATGGAGACAGGAAGGGCATTTTAAATTTCCTTTACAATCTGAATGGAACCTTGAAGAATAGGTTAAGACTAAAGCGGATATGAAGAAAAGAAAGGACATTCTAAGATGGAGAAGTGTTATAAAAATTCATGTAGACATAGGTATCCCTGACAGATCAGTAAGACAATAAGAAGGCAAGTCTGAATGGATAGAGGATACATATTCAGAAAATGTGGCATGAAATCTCCCTCTGCCAAGAATTCTCTATCCTTGCCTTTTATCTAAATTCTAACTAGCTGGTACTTTTTATTTGAATATTTTTCTCACCCAGCAAACCAAGCTAAGTGTCTTCTAATTCACTGTCTTGACACTCTTTACTGCCCTAAAAAATAGTTTATCATATATGGTAACATTTTCGACTATGCATCACATGTATCAGAATCATCTAGAGCTGGGGTCAACAAATGATTGTTCAAGGACCAAATCCAGCCCAACTCCCTGTTCTATAAATAAAGCTTTATTGGAGCACAGTCATAGTCATCTTTTTATATACTGTCTATGGTTGCTTTAGTGCACTAATGACAAAGCTAAGTTTTTGCAACAGGAACCTATGGTTCACAAACGTAAATTATGTACAATATGACTTTTAATGGGAAAAGCTTGCAAATTACTGACCTATAGGGGTTGTTAAAACTCAGATTGCTTGGCCTTGCTCCTAGAGTTTTTGATTTAGTAAGATAAGAGTGTGGCCCAATGATGTGCATTTCTAACAAGTTCCTAGGTAATACTGGTGTTGATGCTGTTGGTTTGAGATCATAGGCTGACAACTGCTGCCCTATACCTACAGATCTCATCCTTGGTTAAATATTAGAATCATCTGCAGAGCTTTTAAAAATTGATATTAAATCAGAATCTCTAAGAGTGAAACTCAGACTTAAGTACATTTTTAAGTGATTCCAATATGTGGCTTAGAGTAAAAACTCCTGTCCTGTAAGCTCTGGAAAGGTATGCTCTCTGCCTTAGACTTAGGCAAGTGCCTGGTATGCTGGAAGTGCTAAAGTAAATAATATGTAGATGAACTAACATTTTTTTTTTCAGTTAAAATTAAGAATAGAATATATTTGATGGGGCAATCCACTATTCCATTGAATTGGAAAACTCAGTACTTTGTAGCATCAAGAATCTCTAAATATCATGAATCAACTTCCTGTACTTTCACTCTCCTCAGGAACAAAGTCATACTTAGAGAAAAATGTAACAGGCAGACCACCAGACTGCCACACAGCTCAGCAGATTTAACAAGAAGTGAGGAAGAACACAGCTGACTCAGTCATTTTTAGGTAGCAAATTGGAATTTGGCCGGTTCCCCAAGATACTAATTCCAACAAAAGAGTACATTTTTCATTCATGATGGGCATACCATTTCTCTCAAAGCCAAAAATTAGAAGACTATTGTGAATGTGGATCCTTTACATGAAGTGAATAGCAGGGGGTAGAAAGAGGAGGTCAGATGATTATAAAAAGCAACTGCTACATGGGAAAGGGGGGAATGAAGTCTCCTAATTGGTCTATCTGTTTCCATGGTAAGGAGAAAAATGCTAATAATCTGTTCTAAATTGTTTTCAGAAGAAAAATGCATAGGCTAGGTTTTCCCCAGTATAGGAAAACTAATAGCAAATAGGACATTCCTTTCAAAAAAGATGGGAGAACAGTAACACCATTTCCCTACCCTCCACACAATCCACTATCTCTGAATAAAATGGCTCTGCCTTTGAAAACACTACTGCCATAACCAGTTCAGGTGGGCAACAAGCAGAGTAGGAAGACAGAGGGAAAGGAATGGAGGGTAGAAGTCAAGCCACATGCAGCCCATTCTCTGAAGTTTGAGAGAGAAGATGGAAAAGAAAGAAAAAAAAAACAGTGAGTGTAAAGGGAAAATAATGAAACAAATATCAGGCAAATAGAAAAGCAAGGCTGAAAATGAAAGAAATTGTGGACAGAGAAAAAAGATACCAGTAAGTGACAAAGAATAGATGAGGGTAAGATCAAGGTAAGAAAAAAGGATGGGAATAACAAAAGCAAAAGAATGCTGGAGAGAGAGAGAATATAATCAATAAACACACATACACATACATGTATACACAGATAGAGATATTTACATAGATAAACATTTGTATCTTTTATTTTCCTCAGAGTAATGTCAGAAAGAAAAGCAGGCTTCTTTCAATGAGGCAACATCCAAAACCCCTAGAAATATTTGCTCCGGGATCTGAATCAGAGATTTAGGAGCCAGATAAATTAGCTAGCCAGCTATGAGCCTCAAACCGCTGACTGCTGTATATATAACTCAGGTTTCAAAACTTGAGTGAAATGCCCCACTATTGAGAAAACCTCCAAGCATAAAGTAAATGAGAGCAAGCTTTCGAGTATTTTGCAACATTTTATAATGGACCTATATAATCATATTATTTTAGACAGTGAGGTAAATTTGGAAATACTACTTCTGACAGTGTTGCATGAAATAGTGACTCTATGTTTACAGTGAGCTTGCTTATTTAGGTTTAAAAAGCACACAACTAGGAACTCTATGTTGTGCTCTTATCTCAAAATACTACATTTCCACTGCCGGGCAGAAATCTTCCAGAAGCTGAAATCACACTAGCTAGTGGCAAAATTTAGTATTTAAGGTCTCATACAGGATCTAGAAATCAACAAAAAAAAAATCAAAATGCAGTACTTGAGTGCAACCTCAAAAATGATAGAATGATCTTGGTTCATTTCCAAAGCAAACCATTCAACATCAAAGTAACCCAAGTCTATGCCCCAATGATTAATGCTGAAGAAGCTGAATTTGACTCTATCTATGGAGACTTAAAAGACCTTCTAGAACTAATGCCAAAATAGAGGTCCTTTGCATCATGAGGGACTGGAGTGCAAAAGTAGGAAGTCAAGAGAAACTTGGAATAACAGGCAAGTTTTGACTTGTAGTACAAAATGAAGCAGGGCAAAGACTAACAGAGTTTTGTCAAGAGAACATACTCATCATAGTAAACACCCTTTTCCAACAACCCAAGAGAAAACTCTACACATGGACATAACCGATGGTCAATATCAAAATCAGATTGATTATGTTCTTTGTAGCCAAAGATGGAGAAGCTCTATAAAGTCAGTAAAAAAAAAAAAAAAAAAAAAAACCAAAAAACAAGACTTGGACCTGACTGTGGCTCAGATCGCCAGCTCCTTATTGCAAAATTCAGGCTTAAAGTGAAGAACATAGGGAAAACCACTAGGTCATTCAGCTATGACCTAAATCAAATCCCTTTATATTACAGAGGAGGTGATGAATAGATTCAACGGATTAGATCTGGTAGACAGAGTGCCTGAAAAACTATGAATGGAGGTTTGTAACATTGTACACGAGGCAGAGACCAAAACTATCCCCAAGGAAAAGAAAGGCAAGAAGGCAAAGTAGT